ATTCAAATTAGCATTGCCTTTGAGGGCAGTCACAAGCAAAGATGTAAAGGTATTCCAAGGATGTTTCACAATAATTTTGAAGTTATTCTTATGAAATTGTTCTCTGAACAATGTGGAAGCCATATTATGTTTATAAAGTTGAACAGCACTTCAATTTACAAAGGAGCTTTCACACATATATTTTCATTTAAATCAATCTTCACGATGATTATGTAGGTAAACAACATGTGGTCCAGAAACAAACTGCAAATTCCCTGTCCAAGTGGTATAGCGAGGTAGGAATCACCAAAAGAAATCTTTTTATTTTTCTTCTTCTTTTCATTGTACCATTCCCCCTTTGAAGAGATTTATATTCGTTATTTTAAAGATGTATTTTAGTTTTGACCTGGTGCTATGACATGCCTCATGTACCATACTTAATGAAATGTCTCAAATCTTATTTACATAAGAAGATACATAAAATTCCTTATAAATAAATCAATATAAGGCTATATAACTACTTATTCCATTATACTAATATTAGCTACATCAACTGACATTGACTACCTCCAGGCACTGTGATAAATCCTTTACATTCATAGCTCATTTAGTCTTCACACGATTCTTAGGTTGCAGGTGGAGGAGATAATAAAATACCTAACTGGTATTCTGTGGGAACTGACCCATCTGAATAATGAGAAAGAATTCTTGCTGTAGGACTAGATCGGGTTCTGGAGTTCCCTTCCATGTCAGCCTTTGGTTGCTGCATTGTGGGGAGGGCTATGGGGACTGCAGGAGAGGAGCAAGTATGGTGACAATCACTCGAGGGCTTGAGGATTTACCAGCTGAAGCTTAAAGCGGTTTTAACTGAGCAAGGTCTCAGCCCTAGAAAATGATAAGGTTGAGATTCGAACCCAGGCCAGTGTATCATCCATTCCACCTTTCCGTATATTATATTCTTCCTGTTAATACTTAATATTTGTAAAAATTAAATTGACTTCCAGAAGATAAAGATCTAGAAAATGTGCCAATTCTGAAGGTAGTGAACGGAATATCACAGAAAGTAAATTAAGCAGTTTAAAAAATATAATGATTGAATAATAGTGTATTATTGGAACAATCTATGGAAGCTTGTGTTGAAGGGAACAGTCTTCTACTTCCAAGTTTGCCATGCTCTATATAAAAACAATATTTCAAAACCTGATATAATCCTATCTTATGATCACCACAGTTAACAACTAGTAAAACTTCTTAAATCTCATTTACAAACGTTTTATAAATTACATACAAGTAAAATAATAATGTTAACCTAACTCAGTTTAAATTCCTCTAGCTGTTCAGAAGAGGTGCCAGGAAAATAAATCAGATATACTAAATGGGCCTTATGAAAACATTCTTATTCCCTGACTGCTCCATATTTTTACAAATCTTTTCATTTTTATCAGCTATCTCCCTTCAGCTGTGATTCCTATTCCTAAGTAATAACAGCAGCATCCTCTTGTTCCTATATCTTACACGGTGAGTAAAAGATAAGGAAATAGTTAAAGGTATGCATGAAAGTAAAACTGATTGGAGCAAAGGTAGCTCTGGGAGTGTTTTTTTGGTTAGTTAAGTGAGTTTTGGTTAGCTTAAGCAGGAACCTGCTTACCTCACAGGACAAACCAGAATAGCCCAAGGGACAATCACATCTTTCGATCAGGTGAGCTGCAGGAGTCACGGTTGTTACCTGTCCTTGTTCAGCTACCTCCATTGAAATTTCAGAAATACTGGAAACAGCAAGCATATATATATAGATTACCATACCAGGAAGTTAAGACCACCTAGCAAACAGTCAATCTTACGAGGAGAGTCTTCTCAGGCTTCTGTCAATAACCTGAAGCATATTCTATTGTTTTTAAGCTGTCTAAATTCCAGGGGCTCATGGGCCNTCCAGGTTGAGCTGTTGTTCAGCATCTTAGCTGTGGAGGGCAGTGTCACTGGCCCTCATATGTGGGATCCAAACCGGGGCCCTCTGGCATCCCAAGTGAGTTCTTAACCATCGCGCCACTCGGCCGGCCCCCAACTATCATTTTTTAATTGCTTTAAAAAATGTATACTATGACAAATGTCTTTTTCCTTTAAGTTTTATTTCACACACACACACACACACACACGCACACACCCTGAAGTTTAGCTGGCCTCTGCATATGGTATCCGTGCATGCGTAATGACAAATGAACACGTGGACCTTGTTCAAGAAACACTCAGGTAACTACCTGGCATATGGAGGTTTCAGGGTCACAGAGACTGCTGTGTCCATTACAGTTGCATGGGACACAGGTGCCCAGGGTTGGCCCAGGGGTGCGACCACCCAGCTCAGAACGCTGTCGATAAAATCCTGGTGTGCATGTCTGAAAGAAAAAGAAGCCAATTAGAACAGCTAACTTAGAAATCTTGCTTTAGCAATACTTGGGTTCTTCAGTGGTTAAGGACTTCTTTCCCCCTACCTGCAGTAAAGGCAACATCACTTACAAACACAAGTGCCAATTTTGATCCTTAACGTGTATTTCTGCCTGCTCCCTAGAACATATAGGCAGCATCCATGTCATCAGATTTTGCAAAGGAAAGCTATCATTTGCATATAACTCTCAGCCTGAAAAGCTTCAAATAGTCCTCTTTTTCCTGAGAAAGAGGTTTGGTTTAAAATAAATTTGTCATATGGACTAAAGAGAGAATTCTGATGTACTATACAACCTAAAATCTGCTTCTACCGTGCTTGATGGATAATGAGCAAGTGTCCAATGAGACTCAGCAAAAATTAAATAAAAAAGTGTCACAATTGCATTATTTATATTGAAATAATTTACAGACTATAAAAGTAAGAAATTCAAAATAATAAAAGCTCTCCATGTCTTGGGGATGTTAGGCCACTAATAAAATTTATCTTTCCCTGATCTATTTTTTTTTTCATTTTGCAATAAACATCTGAGAGCAAACAAAATTGCTAGCAAAGCTGACATATACAAAATCAAGAGTTCTATCTTCATTTGGGTTTATTATGTAAATGTACCGAAAAACATCTCAGAGTTTCTGGAAGGAAGCCCACAGCTCTCATTCTCTTTGGAGAGAAAATGAAAACAGTCTTGTGTTCTGGGCTCAGTCCTCTCTGTATGCAGAGCTGCTGCGTTTATCAGACACTGTTTGATTTATGAGTAAGAGGTAGGAGTTAGTTTTTCAATTACCACTGAAGATTATAAAGGGACTGTTTTATCATGGTGGCTAGGTAGAATTTTTTTCCACAGGATATCTTGTTCCCATTGTTGAAGGAAAAGTGATTGCTGAGTAAGCAAGGGGAAAATATTAGATTAAGAACTTCTCAGAGCCTCTGCATCCTTTTGGTTCTGAACTAGACCTTCCAGAGTGGAATATTCAAAGAAGTTCCTTCCAAAGAGGAAAAGATCAATAGTCAGCATTGTCCTTGTTTATTTTGATTTGGATAATGTAAAATTACCTCAATTAAGTACTTGAGTCTCTGTTTTTGTCATAGCCTATATGAAATGCTAATGAGACTTAATAATGTCCCAGCTTTGAGCAAACTGATAAAACTGAAAATAGTATTCAAAATATTTTGAGTCTCATATGTCTGATGGTGGACCTAATGAGAGATATTTTAATAAGTTTATTCATATTATTTAAAACCAAGGTTGATTTTTCTGTTGTTACCAAGCAAAGTCTGGAAATTATGGCTGAGGAATTCACTTAAACATCACTGAAGAAACAATCCAAGGTGTATTTAAAAATATTACAAAGTTGCATGCTGACTATAAAACAAAATTGGATTTTCTTTACATGGATTTCATCCCTGGATACCTACATAATTATTGTTATTTTACTGGTATATTTGTTTGGTGTGTGTGTGTGTGTGTGTGTGTGTGTGTATGTGAATAATCACACAAATTGAGAATTCCTAGCTCTATTTTATACCAAGCAAAAGTGTAAAACAAGTGTTAGAAGAAGAATAAAGTTAAGAAACAGCATTTTCATTGAAGAATCATGTGAAATTCAATGTTATAGACTGAAATTTGAAAGTGAGCGCTACAGGTGAAGTTTACTGTAACATGACTTCTATTACTGTGGCTCTTCCCTGGAAAGACTGGAAGATAAAGTAGAAAAGTGCCCCTAGTGGGAGTACAAGCTTGAGATCCAAGGAGCTCTGTGTAGAACCTTCTTGACCGATCTCACTGGTTCTCAACCCTGGCTGCATACAGAATCATCTGGCTCCACCCCCAGATATTTGGATTTAATTGGTGGAGAGTAGGGCCAAGGTTTACTTTAAAACTCTTAGCAGGGTCTATAAGAGTCAGACAATTATGTTTGTGAACTTGTTGCAACAATGTTGCTAACCTTTTTTGATACCAGAGGGATTATACATTATGAATTTGTACCAACAGAACAAACAGTTAACCAAGTTTACTACTTGGAAGTGCTGAAAAGGCTGCATGAAAAAGTTAGATGACCTGAACTTTTCGCCAACAATTCATGGCTCTTGCATCCCAAGAATGCACCAGGTCACACAGCACTGTCTGTGAGGGAGTTTTTAGCCAGTAAACAAATAACTGTATTGGANTTTTAGCCAGTAAACAAATAACTGTATTGGAACACCCTCCCTCTTCACCTGATCTGGCCCCCAATGACTTCTTTCTTTACCCTGAAGATAAAGGAAATATTGAAAGAAAGACATTTTGATGACATTCAGGACATCAAGGGTAATACGATGACAGCTCTGATAGCCACTCCAGAAAGAGTTCCAAAATTGCTTTGAATGGAGGACTAGGCGCTGGCATCAGTGCATAGCTTTCCAAGGGGAGTATTTCGAAGGTGACCATAGTGATATTCAGCAATGAGGTATGTAGCACTTTTTCTAGGATTAATTCGTGAACCTAATTGTCTGACTTTGTAAGCAACCAAGATTGAGAAATGCCTGCATGTTCCTCATTTTTTGTCTTTACAGACTCTGGTACTGTGACACGAATGAATATAGAAGCCTTGACTTTACAAGTTAGTTTTGTCTGAGGGATACAGGCAAGTCTCTTGGTGTACTGAAACACAGTTTTCTCGCCTCACAAATGAGCAGGTATATGGCTCTAGATAATTTTGAAGTTTCTTTCAGTTCTAACATGCTTGTTTAATTTTGTATCCTTATAGATTAAATTTCTAAGAGCTAAGTAAAAGACATTTCCACAATGCAAGGGTTAGAAATTTAAAATATACTCTTTAAAGGAATGGGACATATTTATTCTTCTTTAATCCCCTCATTTTCTGGAGCCTGTTTGTATTATTCCCCCCCCCCCTTTAAAAAACTGAGGGTGTTTTTCAATAGCAGATGTTTTACTTCTTAGTGAACTGGGGAAAAATTCATGAAAATGATTACACTTGAGTTGAGAACAAAAGAGGAAAGATAATAGCTACTTTTAAAAGTCCTGTCTAAAATCCATTCTGGAACAAAACGAAGACTTAAAGAAAAGCAAATAAGTAAACACTGTTCTAATCTTATCCCTTGTTTCTATCTCAAACTCTCTCAAAGTTCCCTTGTGCTGAAATGATTCATAGCTCAATTTTCTTCTGCTCTCTGTCCATATTTAATTTATTTTCATAATATGGTGTCTCATTAAAATGTTAGAATCAAATTCACACAAAAATGTGAGAGGGTGGGCAGAAGGGAATGGGAGACAAAGAATAACAAGCCAACACGCTCCAGGTGCAGAATTGTACAACATTCCCCCTTCTTCCTGCAGAGTTTAGAGATAAAAATAGATACTTGAGCTGTTGCCAATGAAAACACTATCTTGTATCTGTATATGGGTTTTGCAATCAGGAAATCCTGAGTTTCATTTCTGTTCCACCGCTTACTACATATGATTTTGTCCAGGTTTTGAATATTGTGGGCCTCAGTTTCCTCACCAGGAACATAAGGATATTGTGCAGCATAATGGTTGGATGTAAGAATATCTAGGTATTTTGAAACAGACACATCTAGGTTCAAATTGCAGTTTGGCTGTTTTCTAGCTGTGTGATCATGGGCGGGTTTCTTAACCTGCTTGGCCTTTCATTTCCTCTTCTGTAAAAGGGGGATAGTAGTACACACTCAAATGATGTTGGTGTAAGTGCCTTAGGGAGTGAGTTTGGCACTGTGTAGGATACAGTAAGCACCCAATAAATGGTAAATTTTGTTTTTTATAGGGTTCTTATAAAGATTCAATAAGATAATGCATGTTTAGTGCTTGGCATGTAATAAATCAACATGGGTATCTCTATCCTAGAAAACTTTTAAAAATATAGTTATGGAAGCTAGACTAAAACTAAAGGCAAAGACGATTGTTCTATATCACATTGGGAAACAAAATTATAATCTATGCCACTTACCCATACCACATTCCTCAATATTTTTATGTACCTGAAAACAGAATCTTAGGGTCTTCCATGTGCAACGGAAGCGGTAAAGTGTGTCCTGAGAGGTGTGCATGCGTAAGAAGGAAAGTCTGCATTCACTATTTTGTCTTTTGAGTTTTTTAAGCTGATCATAGGTATACATTGGGGATTTAAAATATATATATATATATTTTTACTAGACACAAGTGATAGCTTCAGAGTGATGACTCAGTAGACACCAACATTTCAACTGTGAGCCAGAAGTCCTATCAAAACCTGGCAGAGAGGAGAAAGAGGCTGAAATGATTGAAATATGTCTTAGATATCATCATCTTATTGCAGAAAACCATGTAATCATTGCTAAATATTTTCCATTTCTGCATACAACCTAACCTGAACTTGGGACAGTTTAGGCAGCACTGTTAACTGAGAGAATGATGAGGAGCAGATGAGGTAAAGTATGTTAAACTCAATGGCTCCCACACCAATAAATGTGGTAAGGAAATTGTGTCCTTTACTTGACTTCTAAAGGTAATATGGTCTCTACTTCAAATCATAAATTATAACAAGTAGGCATTTCTAGAACTAACAGTTTCTTTTTTTATTAAATGTATTGGGGTGACATTGATTAATAAGATCATATAGGTTTCAAGTATATAATTCTGTAATAGCTCATCTGTATATTGCATTGTGTGTTCACCACTTAAAGTCAAATCTCCTTATGTCACCATCTATTTGACCCCCTTTACCCTTTTCTACCTCCCCCACCCCCTTTCCCTCTGGTAATCACTATATTGCCATCTGTGTCTATGAGTTTTTGTTTGTCTTGTTTATTTGTTGCTTTCAGTTTTATATCCCACATATGAGCAAAACTTGCATTTTTAATGAACAGGACTACAATGTCATAACACTACAGGTAAGAGGCAAAGGCTAAGTGTCTTCACAACTGGCTATATTTCAGTGGCAGCTAACACTAAATTTTCCTTATTTGCACCACATATGGGATAAAAACATGAAATAAATAGCTTGTAATTGCAGATGTCTCTAGAATACCACAGATTTGGTGAAAATATTATAAAGGCATTGCTTTGTGTAATCATGACCCAAAGCATATGTTACTGGAATGGGATGTATTATTTCAAAACTGTCCTTAGCTCTTGCTTTGATGATTAGAGTTTATGCCTGGTTAATTATATTTTAGAATCAAGATGAATTATAAATAAGATATAGAATAGATAAGAGGCAACAGGTTGTGGAGTACACCTTAGGCACCTGATTATGAGAGGCAGGCCTTTATCCTCATAATCTTTCCACTAAGATATTACTGTAATTATGATCTATAAATAGGAGCTTAAGTGAAATGAATGAGAAATAGGTGAAGCCACCAAGGCAGATGATAGTTTGTATGTATTCCCAGTTTGTCTTGATTTTCTTCATTTATCATTTGCTTCATTTGTACTAATTTATATTTTCATATAATGACAGAAAATTACTAAGATTAATGGGAAAGCATATTTTAGAATATATTACTGATCACAATAAGGAGAGTTTTAACATTTAAAATCTGGAATGGAAAGACTACATTAAAATAATTTGTTACTCCACTAACATTATTGTTCATAAATGAACAGTAGCATTATTTCAAATAAATGCAAAAAAATATAAAACAGTAGAAACTTTCTCTTCAGGATATGTAAAGGTCAATCTTGACTACTTACTGAATACCTTCTATAACAAAATAATATTGCAGAATCGGACAATTTTAGAACTTCAGAAGCCAAA